GAACTTGGTAAACGAATTCAGTAAAGTCTCAGGATACAAAATCAACACACGCAAATCAGTAGCACTGCTATACACCAATAGCAACCAAGCTGAACTCAATTCTATCTACAATAGTTGCCAAATAAAATAAAATACATAAGAATATATTTAACCAAGAAGGTGAAAGATCTCTACAAGAACTACAAAACATTGATGAAAGAAATCATACAGGACACAAATAAATGGCAAAGCATCCCATGATCATGGATTGGAAGAATCAGCATTGTCAAAATGACCATATTACCCCAAGTAATCTGCAAATTCAAAGCAATCTTTATTAAACTACCAGCATCATTTTCACAAAGTTATAAAAAAAAATCCTAAAATTAATATGGAACCAAAAAAGAGACAGAATAGCCAAAGCAATCCCAAGCAAAAAGAACAAAGCTATAAGCATTACATGACCCAACTTCAAATTGTACTCCAAAGTAATTAAAACAGCATGGTTCTGGTACAAGAGCAGATGCATGGACCAATGGAACATCCAGAATCCAGAAATAAATCCAAATATCTACAACCAACTGATCATTAACAAAGCAGACAAAAACATATCCTGGAAAACAACACTCTAGTCAACAAATGGTGCTGTGAAAATTGGATAGCTTCATGCAGAAAAATGAAACTTGATCCCTATTTCTTACCATATACAAATATTAACCAAAAATGGATTAAAGACTTGAATGTCAGACCTGAAACCATAAAAATCCTAGAAGAAAACCGAGGAAAACTCTTTAGGACATTGACCTAGGCAAAAAATTGATAGCTAAGGCCCCAAAAGCAAATGCAACAAAAGCAAAAATAAACAAGTGAGACCTAATTAAACTAAAAAGCTTCTGCACAACAAAAGAAATAATCAACAAAGCAAATAAGCAACCTACAGAATGGGAGAATATATTTGCAGACTATACATCTGACAAAGGACTCATATTCAGAATCTACAAAGAATTCAAACAAATCAGCAAGAAAAAAGCAAATAACCCCATTTTAAAAAGTGGGCAAATGACATGAACAGACATCTCTCAAAAGAAGATATACAAATGACCAACAAACATTGAGAAATGTGCACCACCACTAATCATCAGGGAAATACAAAATAAAACCACAATGAGATACCACCTTACACCAGTCAGAATAACCATTATTTTAAAAAATCAAAACATAATAGATGTTGCCACCAATACAGTGAAAACACTTTTTTGCAGTTGGTAAGAATGTAAATTAGTACAACCTCTATGGAAATCAGTATGGAGATTTCTCAAAGACTAAAATTAGATCTACTATTCATTCCAGCAATCCTACCACTTGTTATCTATCCAAAGGAACAGAGGTTGTTATACAAAAAAGACGCTTATACCTACATGTTTTCTGCAGCACAATTCACAATTGCAAAGATGTGGAATCAAACTAAATGTCTAACAGTTGATGAGTGGATCATGAAAATTTCATATATATATATAGATATATCTATATAGATATATGTATAGCTATATAGATATATCTATATAGAAAGATGTATACTCACACACACAGACACACATCATGGAATACTATTCAGTCATAAAAAAGAATGAAAGAATGTCTTTGCAGCAACTAGGATGGAATTGGAGACCATCAACTTTTTGGAAAACCAAAAACTACATGTTCTCACTTATAAGTGGACGCGAAACTAAGGATATGTAAAAGCGTATAGAATGGTACAATGGACATTGGAGACTCAAAAGAGGGAGGGTGAGAAGAAGGGAGGAACGAAAAATCACCTTTTGGGTCAATGTACACAGGTGGGGGTGGAGGGGTCACTTTAAAAAAAAAAAAAGAGAGAGAAGGCTAGGAAATAAGTCATTAAGTAGGCAGTCTATGCCCAACAAACACTCGGGAGTTCTATTATTAAAAGCAGAATTGGAGAAGTAGTGACAGGAAACAACCAACAGCCTCAGCTGTCTACGTGTGAAGCAAATGTTTCGCAAGTTAGTATTTTCACTTATTCTGTCTTTAGTCTGTCTGATACACTGTATTTCCTACTTTATTATATTCTATTCCATTTTCTTAAATCCTGGTCATGACTCACTATAGCTGGTGACCCATAATTTAAAAACCATTGCTCTAAGCATATTATGTCTAATATTGTAGCCACTAGCCATATAGAACTGTTGAACACTTGAGTACAGCTCACTTAAATTGATTTACATTGTAAGTGTAAAATCCACATGAGATTGCAAAAATTGAGTATGATAAAAAGTATTTAATAATTTTATATTGACTGAATGTTGAAATAATCATTTTTTGGATATATTGTTTAAAATAAAATATATTATTAAAATTAATTTAATCTGTTTCTTTTTTTAATGTTGCTAATAGAAAATTTAAAATTAGATAGGAAACTCACATTATATTTCTATTAGACCACACTGCTCTAACCTCTAGATTCAAATGTTAAGCTTTCTATGAATCCTAATACTTTGATAAACCACAAGCACGTTCTAAAACTATGGTCTTTTTCTTTCCAACTCTCAGCCCTTCTGCCTTCCTTCTGCCCCTACCCATCCAAGAAAGGTAGTTTACAGATTTCTTAAAGAACTAAAAATATATTTACCATTTAACTCAGTAATCCCACTACTAGATATATACTCAAAGAACATAAATCTGTTTCATTCATTCAGCAAAAGGCAACACTTCCAAGATAGGGTGTGTTCAGAGATATTCAGAAATTAACTCGAGATGGGATTAACTTAAATGTAAGACCTCAAACTATAAAAGTCCTAGCACAAGACCTAGGAAAAACTCTTCAGGACTTATGTCCAAGTCCTCAAAAGCAAATGCAGCAAAAACAAAAATTGACATGTGAGACCTAATTAAACTAAAGAGCTTCTGCACAGCAAAAGAAAATATTGACAAAGTAAAAAAAAACCCTGCAGAATAGGAGAAAATGTTTGCAAATTATGCATCTGACAAAGAGCTAATATCCAGAGTCTATAAGGAACTTACACAAATGGTCAAGAAAAAAACAAGTAGCCCCATTAAAAAGCAGGCCAAGGCATGATCAAAAAAAAAAAAAGTAGGTAAAGGGTATGAACAAACGCTTCTCAAAAGAAGATATACAAGTGGTCGACAAACGTATGAAAAAATGTTCAGCCTTAATAATCATCAAAGAAATGCAGCCAAAACTGCAATAAGACATTATCTCACATTAGTCAGAATGGCAATTATTAAAAAGTCAACAAGTAACAGATGTTGGCAAGGTTATGGAGAAAAGAGAATGCTCATACACTGTTGGTAGGAATGTAAGCTAGTTCAGTCCCTATGGAAAGCAATTTGAAGATTTCTCAAAGAACTAAAAATAGATTTACCATTCGACCCAGAAATCTCACTACTGAGCCTATACCCAAAGGAACACAAATCCTTTTACAGAAAAACAAAACAAAAAAACCACAACTACATTCATATGTTTACTGCAGCACTATTGGAAAGAGCAAAGACATGGAACCAACCTAGGTGCCTATCAACAGTGGACTGGATAAAGAAAATGTAGTACATATACACCATGAAATACTACACTACAGCTATTAAAAAAGAATAAAATCATATCTTTTGCAGCAAAATAGATGCAGCTGAAGGCCATTATTCTAAGACAATTCGCACAAAAAGAGAAAAACAACACATATCCTAATTTATAAGAGGGAGTCAAACACTGGGTACACACAAACAAAAATATGGGAACAGCAGACACTGGGGACTCATAAAGGGGGGCAGAAGAGAAGGAGAGTAAAGGTTTAAAAACTACCTGTTGAGTACCTGTTCACTATTTGAGTGACAGATTCAATGGAAGCCCAAACCTCATCATCATGCAATATACCCATGTAACAAGCCTGCACACGTGTCCCCTGAGTCCAAAATAAAATAAAAGGCAACACAATTCACTCAGGGATCACCCAGGAAAATTGCAAGGTACATTTTCCTACATTTCTCATATTCACATGTTCACTAAGTACTGCTATGTTACCTCTTAAATATGATATAAACCTGCAACATCTTTTCAATCCCTCATGAATACCCTAGGTCAAAATACCATCAGCTTCCACCTATATTATATGCACCAACTGCTAAGTGGTCTTTCCTCTGTCCTAGATTGCCTCTTTCCAGTGGGTTTCCACATTTCAGTAAGTAATCTTTCCAAGACACAAACTTGAAGTCCATCCCTGATACTCCCCCAAATCCCTCAATATTGCCAACAATTTCCTTTCTGATTTGAAGCCAGCTTTCTTCTGGCTTCTTCTAAGTACACAAACATTTCCTTCATACCAAATAGTTGCTTCATACCAAATGGCTTGTTTTTCTCTCTGTTTTCATCCCCACAAAAATGTAAAACCTTTTAGTACACATCTGTTTCTACTTATTTGACCATTCTACCTCTAGGATCTTGCATGGTGTCTGCCCTAATAGGATCAATAAATCTTCAACAAAACAACCAAATAACTACACAAATGGATGGATGCATGGATGGATTCATGAGACTGTTTCTGTGACTTAAAGATTGCAGAGGAGTATCATATTTGGAAGACAAAGGAAATGTGTGTATAGTAGATGGCAAATGCAATTAGGATCTTCATTAGGCACAGTATGTCAAAGCTTGTTTTGGACGTCCTGTTACCTCTCCTTTCACCTTTTCACTTCCCTAAAACAGGAAATTATTTCCTATCATCATTTTTCCAGGGTTGGCTCTTCAGCTCCAATTCAGTAATATCCCTAGGGTCAAAACCTACTGGCTTGAACCAGCATCATTTTCACAGAGGACTACTGAATTCTGAACGGGCTTCAACGTTTAAGGTAGGAATATCCAACAGAGGACTTGCAAGCACACTAACTTGTAGTGAAATATCTATTTTGAGCCTGCCAGTGTTGCTTCATTTGTAAGTTTCCCTTGCCAGCTATTCATTCTAAAGATGTGAGAAGAGCCATAAAAGGCATTGTGGAGGATTGTAAGGGAGTGAGAGAAAGAAGTTGAAAAGCTGATTAGCTGCTTTATGGTAAAACCCAGAGAAAGTGAGCTCTTACCGGAATGTGGTTTTATCCCTCCAGGAATTCTATTTAGCCCGCCAGGAATTAACTTTGACTATAAATAGGCCATCAATGACCTTTTCAGAGAATGTTCGGAGACCTCAACTTTGTTTAGAGACCTTGTGTGGGTGGAACTTCCTGTTTGCACAGAGAGCAGCATAAAGCCCAGTTGCTTTGGGGAGAGTTTGGGACCAGATCATTTGTAGGGAGTTAGGGTACAACACAGTCTGGTCTCCTCTGATTCCTTCTCCCTGAAGCATGGGGAAAAACAAACTTCTTCATCCAAGTCTTGTTCTTCTTCTCCTGGTCCTCCTGCCCACAGATGCATCTGTCTCTGGAAAACCGTGAGTTCTTCACAGAGCACTAAGCATAAACTTAAAGAGAGTGATTTTCTTTATTTAAGATTCTCCTTTGTATCGTTCATTTGTGTTTCTTATGAAACTCTCAACTTCTTCCCTTTAAAGTTTTTTCTAACCCTGATATTTTGTAAACCTAGTTTGTTCATTCTTCTCTTATTCTTAACTATTTTTCTCCAGCTCTCTGGATCCCTGAATCTCTAAATTTTCTGCTTATATGCAAAGCCTTTCTAAGGGGCATCAGAAATTGATACTTTTTAAAAGAAATCAGTTTTCAGATCTTCATGTTCATATTGATCTGCTTGAGACCATGCTATTTATCCTTTGTTACCTCCCCTTTCTTTCTAATTGCCTATATTTCATTTTATAAAATAAAGACAGACCTCTCCTTCAACCAAATCTGATTGTGAGGCATTGTCCTGGAGTATAAAAATCTCTTAAGGTGCCAAAAAAGGGAACTACTTGAGATACTGGAGTTTATGTTGAGAAAGCAGAAGACTCTAATGGCACGGGAGAAAATCCTTTGTCAGATTAAATAAGAATTCTTTGTTTAAACAAAATTGAGGGAGTAACTAAAGGAAATACTAGCAGATAAATTATTCAAAGCAATTCTTGATAATAGGGCACCAGGTGATTTTTAGCAGACAATGCAGAAAAAGTTGCAGGAAGTGGTAAAAATGATACAATTATGTTACCTATCATTTACTTACTTTTATGTAAATGATTCTACTCTGAAGCATAAAAATCTTAGGAAACTGTAGTGGTGGCATAGGAATTCAAGTTCAAGGAGGAACAAAAGAAAACGATGCTAAATATCTGACCATTACAAAAAGAACTTTTTAATGTATTTTTAAATAGGTGATACTTGGTATTTTATCACTATAATATTTAAGATTCCATAGGAAACATTAAAGTTGTGTGAATTAATTTAAAATATAATCAAAAATAATCTTATTTTAAATTGTGATTTTAAAAAGATGTTTCCTTACAGTTTTGTAAAAGGTGTATAGTATCCAAAAATTATTTTAGAAATGCGGTAAGCGAAAATGTTTAAAAACTACAGAATCAATCTTAAGTTATATATCAGGGTACTGAGAAAGTTTCTGTCTTGCTCATGAGTTATCAAGATCCAAATTCAATCTCTAAAAGACCACTTATGGATAGAGTCATTGTCTAATCATAAGTGAAATGCAAATATTTAAAATGCAAACATCCATGATTAGGTAACACTCTAAGATTTTGTTAGCTACTTACCACAGTTGAGACTTTAAACTAATGACACTTTTTTTTGAGCCTCAGATTCCATATCTGTTAAGTGGCAGCAAGCATTTTTTGCACAATTTTCACGGGGTGGTTGTATATATGTGTGTGAGTTGTATACTTTAGTGAAAGTTCTGCAAATTGATTGTTTTTATAATGTCCACATGCCTAAGAGCTTGCTTGCTTTTTATAGCAATCCTGAGGTAGCGCAGATTTACAGCATGAATAAATGAAACTAGCATATTTTTTATTTGAATTCAGATGCTCACATATTAGGATTCTTAAAAATAAGGTATGCCTACAAATTTACATCTGTTTAAGACCTACCTCAAGTAAAATGTTCATTGCCATGGCATAGGAAGGAAAAGGGAAATAATTCTTATGCATGCCACACAACAGCAGTTTCATGCTCATCAGTGTGTCTTCTCTTAGTGTAGAATGTTGATGATAGCACTACTTGTGATGGACAATAGTGCAGCTGACAGCAATGCCTCTCTTCCTTTGCTCTCCCCTAACCGGACTCTCCACTCCCAGGCAGTATATGGTGCTGGTCCCCTCCCTGATCCACACTGGGACCCCTGAAAAAGGCTGTGTCCTTCTGAGCTACCTGAATGAGACAGTGACTGTAAGTGCTTCTTTGGAGTCTCTCATGGAAAACAGGAGCCTCTTCACTGACCTGGTGGCAGAGAAGGATTTATTCCACTGCGTCTCCTTCACTGTGAGTGTGGCTGGTTGGCTTAATATACTCAGTTCTACTGGTCAGGGTCATAGGAATCTAGTATTTAGTTACGCCTTTGGAAGGCAGATAAGAACTTCAAGAAGGAATCCAGATGTAGCAACTAAGCGTGGAAATTTGAGGAGCGATACATGAATTTCCAACCGTGAGAGACAAATATTTCTCAGAATATGAAAAATCAACTTGAGCAAAGAAAAACCCTATTAGCCAGTAAGGAAAAGAAAAAAAGGCTGCAGACACTAAACAAAGGGAAAATGTGACTTATTAAAATTAAATTAATAAAGCAAATTAAGCCGGGCTCAGTGGCTCAGCCTGTAATCCCGCGCCTTTGGGAGGCTGAGGTGAGTGGATTGCCTGAGCTCGCGGGTTCGAGACCCGCCTGGGCAGGCGAGACCTCATCTCTACAGTAAATCAAAAAATTATCTGGGCATGGTAGCACACGCCTATAATTCCGGCTACTCGGAAGGCTGAGGCAGAAGGATCACCGGAGCCCAGCAGGTCAAGACTGTGGTGCCCGGGAGCAGCCACTGCACTCCAGTCTGGGCGACAGAGTGAGACTCCAACTCAAAAAAAATAAAAATAAATAAAAATTCATAAAGCAAATTAGGCCAAGGCTCAGTATGAGCCTCTAGTGCTAGTCGGACAGGAATACATCACTTTACACTATTTCTAAAAGTAAAAATTATAGAAATTACCCTGAGCAAATGTCCAATATCTCTTTAAGAGTTGCTCATATGTGAGATGCTTAAAGCCTAGTGCCAATACTTTTCTTCATTGCCTTAAAACAAGCTTCAATCATGCCCTTTTAGTATGTAACATCAAAATGGTGAGGTACAGTGTATAATTGAATCAGGATTGTACTTTCTGAGCTATAAGAAGATGTGAGTCTCATTTACAACCTCTCTTACTGATGTATATTCCTCCACTGTGTGTTCTGTCTTCCCCCTTGTAAAATGACAGACATAATTTCTGATCATGCCAGCTTTCCCTGAGGAAAAGAATGAGGAGGTAAAGTTGAGTAAAACAGACTAAGATTTCCAGGGAGGAGTAGAACATGGAATGAGAGAGGAGATTTAGGAGGCTGAATGGGTTCTCAGGCTCTCTCCTATATTTCAGGTTCCAAGGTCTCCATCCAATAAGGAGGTCATGTTCCTCACTGTCAGAGTGAAAGGATCAACCCAAGAATTTATGAAGCGGACCACAGTGCTAATTAAAAATGAAGAGAGTCTGGTCTTTGTCCAGACGGACAAATCTATCTACAAACCAGGGCAGGAAGGTATGAGGAGGCCTACAGTCGGGACAACCTCAAAAAAGAAAGCTCTTCCTCCCCTGGATAGTCCTCAAAGTTCCTATAATTTTGGTTCCTTAATCACCTGCCTTACCAGCCTATAGGTCCAGTGTAGGGTTTTGGAAACTCATAGAAAATATTTCTGTTTCAGTGAAATTTCGTGTTGTCTCATTGGATGAAAATTTTCACCCCCTGAATGAATTGGTGAGTCTCCTATCCTCTACATAAAATTATTATTATCTATACGTGGGCTGGGAGTCTGTTTCTGGTATTGGGGATAGGATCAGGGAAAGGAAGAATATAGTTATTGGTCTCACTAACAGTAATTTCTGGCAGTAAAAAAATAGCACGAAACCCTCATTGAAAACATTATCCTGGGTCAAGAGAGTAATTCATTCTTTCTGTCTTGGTACTGACATTCAGTTAGTTGCTATGCAATTAGACTTCTCTTTAGATAGCTCTCCATTAGGAAAATTAGAAAAATACACTAAATAATACACGCACGGGTAATCCTTCGGGTCCCCTTCCATTATGGGAGCTTCTCTGTCCTCTCAATAAATCCTGCTTTGTCACAAAAAAATAATAATAATACACACAAATAACATCAAAGAGCCTAAGTTCAGATAATTTCTCAGAGGCTTAGACCTTCTCTAGACATACTTACCAAAGACTCTACTATTAAAAAAAATTTAGCCGGGCTCGGTGGCTTAGCCTGTAATCCCGCACCTTTGGGAGGCTGAGGTAAGTGGATTGCCCTAGCCTGCGGGTTCGAGACCCGCCTGGGCAGCGAGACCTCATCTCTAC